TAAATATGAGGGAAATAAGGCAGATCTTAATGTAAAAATCAACACTACTTGTAGCTTCCGAGATGGTCAGAGAAGCAGTGCAGGAAAATGATGGAAGGGAGCGTGCTTCTGCGTCTTTGATGCATTTGAAAGGACACTACTTGTAGCTTCCAAGATGGTCAGAGAAGCAGCGCAGGAAAATGATGGAAGGGAGTGTGCTTCTGCGTCTTTGATGCATTTGAAAGAGAAACATATATTTCTTGTGCTATCACATCAACCTGATTTGCAGTTGATCAAATATATGGGACATATCTGCTGTCAGCTAAATGCATGCATGGAACGATGGGGGAGTGTAGAATCTGTTTGGCTTTCCCTGGCTAGAAAAATCTGTGGGAACATGCTGTCGTTGGGATGTGCTGAAGAGATGCGCTCTGGCACCTACGCCACACTGGAGAACTGTGAGGACAAACATTTGGGAGGAAAGCTGAGCTGATCCTAATTGAAGCAGACAGTAGAGCTCTTTCATTGAAATTCCACCGGCTTCACCAACCTGATGTCAGGTTCTCCATCACTGTGTGAGGGTCGCCTCCAGGCAGGGCATGCTAAAAATAAATTATGCATGCACATCCCCCCTCCTTTTTCCCCGCATGTGCACACACACACGCTCCAAGTGAGCAAAGAAAAGCATGTGGGAACCGCTCCTTGACACCACTGTTGTCAATGAATATGTTCTGCTGCAAGTGAGGGTTTCGGTTCTGTGTCCCAGGAGGTTTGGGCAGACGAAGGAGGTGATACACCAATATTGGGGCCGCAGGCATTGCAGGGAGAATCTCTCATAGCTTATGGAAGACAGGAGCCTGTACTGACTGTTTTGTTACAAAGTCTGGCCACACTGATCTTGCAATTTTTAAAAAGCTTTTGTTAATTTGGTTTCTGAAGGTAAGTGCTGTGTGTGCTGGATTGGGTGGTTTCAGAGATATCTTCTTATCTTGGAGTCTACATTTCCAAATTGCCCTTTTGTTTCCCTGACTGCTTGGTGTATGAAGAGTAGTTTTCTCAAAATCCTCACAACATCTGCAGCTCAGTTTTGCAGGAATGGCTTTCCTGGAGAGGGTGCAGTGTCTTCCCTCCTAGGTGCTCCTCAGATATGACATCCTCCAGGGTCGTGATGGGCTCTGAGATCTGTCAGGGACCATCTGGATTTTTTGTCTCATTCTGCGACAGTGAACATGAGTCATTTGTGGGGAACATCTGGGATATTTCATTTAATCAGTTTTTTTACTGCTCTTGTGGCTTTGGGTATTAGCACTGTCTCTGCTGCTTCTGTTCTCTGTCGCAGCATTTGAGTCTTCAGAGAGTTTAAATGCCTTCAACAAAACCATATTATTGGCTCCCTCCAGGGGTAACTGGGTGAAACTTAATGGTCCATGAGATACAAAAAGTCAGTAGAAATTATCTAATGTCCCCTTCTAGTCTTAAACTCAGTGAAATGGTGAAAATTCTGCTTCTAAAGGAAATGGCAGATGAGCCGTTGCCAGGATCTCCTACCAGGCTTCTTCTCCAGCTGTGGCCATGGGGAGCTGTTCTGTTTGCAGATTCTCAGCAGAATTGCACCACTTTCACTCCTGGAGACCAAGTTCTCATTTGCATCCTTCTGTGCAGCCCATTTGCTCTTCCTCCTCCCTCAAATGCTGAAACTGTTTCAGCCCCTCTTTGTGGTGACCATTTCTGAGGGAAACATTTTGGTTTCCCTTCTGCTTTTACCAAAATCCAAATGAGGTATCTGTTATATCTGAAATCTGCTTTTCACATGGATCAGATGAAACCTCCAGTTCCAAAATATCCCTGGCCCTCTTGAATGCAGAAATCAGTCTTGTGCATCCACTCTCTCTGTGTCTGGTTGAAAGCTTTAGCCAAAAAAAGTCTCCCAGGAATTTTTATAGACTCAAAACATCTCTTTTGCTTTCCTATTCTGCAGGGAAAATGTGCAATTTAAAGCATGTATTTTTTCTTTTTATCGGAAGCATTTGCAATGTGGCCAGAGCTGCCTTTCTTCAGCTGCTGGGTAGGTGTCCTACCCTACATGTGTTTTCAATAAATTCAATGCCTTACCTTGAATATTTCCACATAAAGAGAAACTTGAGAGAAATTGCAGGACTAGAAATCCTAGAGTCTGGGGATTTCAAGCATGAGTGAAGCATGTGTGCTTTTTCCTCATCTGAATTCAAGGTCACACCAGCTCCACAATTGCTGCCTTTCCACGGAGAGAGAGGGGAGGCTTCCTTCTGCTTGTTCTACCACATCAATCAGTTTTTTTAACTAGGTATCAGGAATCTTACAAAGTTGTTTTGATTTTTACTGTTAAGTTAGAAGTGTTTTTACCACAGTTTGAGGAGCTTCTTTTAATTTTGCTGGGTAAATTCATTTGGAACACCTGTAAATTAAAGCAGTCCTGAGATTTAAACTACTTTGCAGCCACCGCTTTTACATTTTGCCAAGCTCACTCCCAGAAAGGTTCCTTTTTCCAGATTAATTGACACAATGGTTTCTTTGTTGTTCTTTGGGTGATAACCCTCAGCTAATTTTTTTTTTCTGAATTATCTGCATTGTCCATGGCACCTCTTAGTCTGAAAGTACAAAGTGAGCTAGGGTTCTTTCCAAACTTGCTAATGATAAAGACCATTCGTTCTCCTGGTTGTCTTTGGTGCAATCTGTTTGAAACGCTGGGTTTGATGAGTGTTTCAGAACAGTGTAGGAGGGCTGCCTGAGCATGACTGAGCCACAGAGTTTAAAAAAAAAATATTCTGCAGAATAATAGATTCATTTCAAATAGAAAATAAAAATCAAGGAAAATGTAGCTTGCCTAAAACAAAACAAGCCAGTTAAGTTTATTGTCTGGATTATTAATTGTGCTGGATTGTTCAGCTGCCCTGAGAATGTCACTTTAATCATTCAGTGAACCTGAAGCCCGGGTCTCTGGAGATCATGTTCTGATCTCTCACATATGGTATATCGCAGTGTTCATTAGACCCACTGGTCCAGTCACATGGAAATGATGTTCAGACTAGTTCTGTCTGTATCTGCTGCTTTTCTTCCTGAATGTGTCATTCTCATGATGAGGGCAGTGACTCCAGCTGATACAGACACAATTGCTGATTGCAAAGAGAGACGCTGGCATGATAATAAAGAGAAAGGATTTGATTTCCATCATGGTTCAGGCTTGGTGAGAAGTCCCCGCTCCACAGAAATATAAATTCCCTTGGGTGAGCAAGGTGCTGAGGTATGTGAGATCACGGACATTGAGCAGCAAAAAGAGGATGGGTGACTTTGGGGACAAACTGCTGGGCTGGGATGCCCAAAACCTGGCCTCAACTCCAAGAGGAAGGAAAAATTCTCACCAGTGTCGTGAGATTCTGTTCTCAGCTCTCGACACACCATGCCCTTTAAAAAACCTGACTGCTCGTTTTGGTGGTGAGGTGGGAGTAGGGACTCCTTTTGCCCAGTGGGAAGCAGGATTTCTTGCTCTTCCCTCTGAATATTTGATGCTGGCAGAAGAGAAGTGAGGAACGTGGTAATCTTATCCAGGATGGCTGTAAGCCAGTCAGGGACGGCTCCTGATCCCCACTGCAGAGACAGAGCTTGGATGGAGGCCAGCTAAGGATGAAGGGAGCTGACGTTTAGGAGCCTGTCTCCAGCCACACGTGCAGAAGGTTGGGTACTGGCAGCCACCAGCAGAAACGAGGTCAAGGGATTCCCAAGCAGCACAGAGCACTTGCCGGGGACCCCAAAATGTCACATCCAACTTCTCACCCTGCACTCTGTTGAGCGGGGCTGGTGAGTGATGTGTGAAGTGTTGAGTCAGTATAAATGTCTCTGCTAAAGGTCTTCAGAGCCAGAGTGACAACAGGAGGAGACACTAGTGCCAGGAGTTCTGACACAGGGAAAACGCTGTCACTGCCACCACCTCCAGCTTGGAGATTTATTGATGGTAACTTGGGATGTGCTATAAACAGGGGTGATATTAAACGAGTCTGACTGTCTCAGGGGCTAAGTTTTACAACCCAAAGTGTGAACTCTCTCTGCCTCACTGAGCTCCCAAGGCACTTTTCCAGCAGCTCCCGCAATCTCATTAAGTGCACTCTCAAGAAGGGCTGTGACCCGAGAGAGCCCTCCTCATGCAGCACAGCACCAGCTGCTGGGATCAGACACAAATATCCACCAGAGAACCCAGTGTGCACCCTCGGAGGTTAGTCGTGGAGACCTCCCAGGCCACCACCACACCCTCACTGGGGCCACAGCTTTCCCCACCATGCCCTTGTGAGGAAACCAGAAGTTGCCATGCAGGTGTCCCCAGGTATCAACACATCCCTGGTGTCAGAGACTCTGACCTCAGTGCCCGGGGACAAACCTCCCTGTAGCTGTGCTGTGACTGCATTGAACCAAGGGGAACCTTTGCTGAGATGTCTTCTCAGCGTGGTGTCAGCTTCTGAGGTCACACCCCTGTTTTTCTCCGGGAGTTATTGGCTGCAAAGGGCGGTGTTGCCATGCAAACGCTTTCCTTCTGCTCCTTGAATGCATCTGGGGCTGCAGTAGCAAGCTCTAGCTGCAGCCTTTCTCCCCCATAATAAAACAGCTCCATGGGCCAGGCAGCTGCCATCCCGAGGAGGAAGGGTTTGGTGAGCCTCCATGCTTTTCTGCTGAGGGGTTCCTTTGTTCACATAACACAGTTTATCCCAGAAGCAGCAAAATCTTCAGCAGAGCCCTGGGGATACTGAATTCACTCTTCTGTGTCACTTCTGCCTGCCAAAGGTAAAGCAGGTCTGTGCACATCAAGAGCAGAGCACTCCATGGCCACAAGCCTTGTTCTTCACAGGTTGTGTACACCAAGCCACAGGCCTTGGGGAAAACGATCTAGTCCAGAGACCGTGCAGCTTACCTCATGGAGAAGTTTTATTTTGGTTACTTCCCTGAGAAACTTCCTTGTCCTTCTGCCCTCACCACCTCTCTTTCTGCTCCTCCAGTCTGCTCACAGTTCTCCAAGGGCGTCTACGCTATCTTCGGATTTTACGAGAGGAGGACCGTCAACATGCTTACATCTTTCTGCGGGGCTCTCCACGTCTGCTTCATAACACCCAGTTTCCCTGTAGAAACATCCAACCAGTTTGTTCTCCAGCTTCGCCCAGAGCTCCAGGATGCCCTCATCAGTGTCATTGAGCACTACAGCTGGCAGAAGTTTGTGTACATTTATGATGCTGACCGGGGTAAGTCACAAGTACATGGGAAGAAACACAGGACAATTAAATGTAGTGGTCTAGATGGAGTCTTTGCCTCGAGAAGTCATCTTACTGTGGGTTGCTGGAGGCCAAGACAGTGGCTAAAGGAAGGGCCATCCTATGCCTTCCCTATTCTCTGTTCCTTTTCTAAAAATCCATTACTGCTGAAGATGGGCATTGATCTAGATGAAGTACTAGGCTGATCCAGTGTATTTGTGTTCATAGGGTCGGGTCTGAACCCCATCAACACAAGGGAAATACTTAATGTGTAAGCGGTTTGAGTTTCAAAAGGGGAAATTGTTCATATTGAATAGGTCCCATTTTCAAGTTTGTCTATCTTAAGGCCACTGAGTCCCACATTTATAAATGCAAACCGACAGCTGCTCAGGTCTCACCGAGCCCCCATCCAGTTGTGATACATGCGTGTTTCTGGCAGGTAGTTTGGAAAACTCCAAGTTCCCTGTGTTAGTGAGTGTTAGTTGTCTGTGTAAAATAACAAAAGCCTTTGTTGGATTCTTGGAAGATATTATATAACTTTCTAAAGCATGAACAGGGCTAGTGAGCTCATTGCTCTGTGATTGAGTTTCCCCACTCTGAGAGGCCTCTAAAGCTCCAGACTAGGTGACTGAGAGCAAAATGGACTTTTGGAGGACAACACAGGGGTGTAAGGGTCATTCACAGCTCTGTCCGGGAAGTTATCATTAGCCCTTGCCAGGGACAGGATGAGCTTAAGAGATGAGGAGAAGGTGTAAAATCCCAGCATGCTTTCTGTTGCCACAAGACATGGGCAAGGTGAATATCCCAAAAGGACAGCAGTAGGCAGGGTTGTGTATCAGGATTCCAGAGTGGTGCTGACTATGTGTGTCTACTCTGGATGTGCATGTAAGTTAGGCAAGATCCTTTTAAAAATAATGAAGTTTTCTGATGAGATGCTGCCAAGAGAGACAGGGATGCTGAATATGACTGTGTGTTGTGATTGCTGAGGGTGTCCCTAACCCTAGGAGCACAGAGTCTAAACAGATCAAAGATGAGGAGGAAACTATGGCCCAGAGAAATGAAGCGATTTGGGCAGTGAAAGACAAGAAGACGGGGATTAGAGCTCTTATCTGAATCCCACAGCAGGGCCTGATCAACGACACTGATCTGCTGATTATAACAGAAAACTAGGCCTGGAATCATCCTATATTCCTGTGCTAGGACAGAAAAAGCAGGAGTCATTAATTCTAGCCCAGCTGTGTTTGGGTAAGATGCTAGGCTATTAGCTGCTCTATATAGTTCTGCTGCACTCTTGCGATGCTGTATCCAGCCCGGCTTGAGGCAGCTATGCAGGCTGGCAGAAGGATGGAAAGATGCCATTGCACAACTCACACCTGGTTCTTCTCTTACTGTCCTCTTCCCCTTCTCTTCCCATCGCAGGGTTGTCAGTCCTACAGAAAGTGCTAGACACCGCAGCTGAGAAGAACTGGCAGGTGACAGCTGTCAACATCCTGACGACAACAGAAGAGGGCTACCGCATGCTCTTCCAGGAGCTGGAGAAGAAGAAGGAAAGGCTGGTGGTGGTGGACTGTGAATCTGAGCGGCTGAACATCATCCTTAGCAAGGTAACCTTGGTGCGGGTCTTCTGGGTGGGGTCTTGTATGTGGGATAGGAAGGGTTGTTTCTCCTGGAGAAGTTTTTCTCCTCCCCGTTCTTGTCTGATCCGTGTCTCATTGCAGCTCACATTGGGTGTGGTTTGTGTGTTGCAGCAGGCTGCCAAGCTTGCAGGTATTTCTCTGTTGTTATTGTGGAAACTGTAGTAAAGCCATATAAATTTAGGAGCTCCCATGTATTAATGATGAGTGAGCTCTGTGGCTCCGTGTTCCCTATTGTTGACTCCTCTGCTGTGCCCTTTACACCCCCTTACTACCCAACAAGCTTGCTTTGTGCTAATTTTTCTAAGCAGCCTGCACAAGGCATGTCACTTCCTCATTCTGCTGAGTTTTTCTCCAGCTTTTCCACCTCCTATGAGTTAGGGTGGAGGTGTGAATCGGCACTGCCAGACTCCTGATCCTCCAGCCTCCATGTGCTGCACCAAATTCTCACATCTGTAGAGTGCTCAGGAGCACTGTCTCCAGATCAGGCTGGAGCTCAGCATCCTCCCAGGGCTGTAGCAGGATGAGATGTTTCCAGCTGCTCTCGTGCCTTGCGCTGAAGGAGACTGGTTCATTCCCAGCCATCTCCTGGCTGTTTTGTCAGCTCATGGCCACAAATCATGTGGGATATGCAACAGAGGACTCAGCAGCTAGGTTTTGTGCCCTGCCTTAGCCATCCTCAATCTAGATGGGTCACCCAGTAGTGCAGACCCAAATTTTCCCCATCCTCTCTCCTCCGTGCTTCCCTTAATGCTTTCCCTAAGTTCTGAATATGGTCTTCTGTGGACAGGAGACCAATGCCAGCCCATGGACAGCTCATGAAAGAAAGACGAGATTATTCTATAGAGTCCACAGAGTAGCTGCAGTTGAACAAAATTTTTGACAGGACCTAGGCAGTAAATTTGCCTTTTCTATGACTCTCCTACAGGGTATATCAGATTTCTAGGATTAATTATGTTGGGATTTTAAGCATGGTTTGTCTAACAGAAAGTTAAGTTCTGTAGTCAAATATTATCTCGTTTTGCTAATACAAACAGGAAAATAAGTCTTTCTTTCAAACTTCTTCACAGTTGGTGAAGCAAGAATTCAACTTAGATATAAGTAAAGCTATTTGGAAGAGCACTAAAAAAAACCACAGATCTTGTGATTATATTTGTTTTGCAATGCTGTAAAAAACATCCATTAAAGACAGAGCAATTCCAACAGATGCCTGTGCCTGGGAGGTAACACTCCTGCTAGGGATAGGGCTATGGAGAACTTTTCTCAGACCTGTGAGGTCCATTTTTATCCCAGGTATCCCAGGTAGTTATCCCAGCGTGCGCAGGAGATGCCGGCTCTTTCGCAAGATGCAGATGACCAGAGGGAGTCAAAGACAGTGTTCATCTCATTACATGAAATTCAGCTGGGACTTAAACTGGGGCTGGCAGCTGGTCTTTCAGTTCACCGCACCAGCAACCTCTGTGTGGATGTCACTGCTCTGTTTGCCCTGTCCCTTTGAGTGTCTGAGGTGTTCAAAGAGCTGCCTCAGCCTCTCGGGGACATTTTAAGGCATTTATCTTCTTCCCTGACAAGCCTGCTTCTGTCTTTTCGTGGCCATGAATTTGTGCTCCCTGGTGAACCAAAAAGCTGGGGATGGCTGTTCAGCATCAGTCCTTCACACATGCACGCTGGTGCTTGCACACACTTTTAATTTCTTTCCCCCACTGTGTACACGAAAGACAAATAACATCCGCTGGCTCCAGCCGGGCAGTCCTCGCGTTCTGGAGACCGAGGAGCCAGTGCTCAATGTGTTAATGATATGTGGGAAAATGACCTGATTTCTTTCTCAGAGATTTCTCTGTGTCATGTCCCAAGGGCATGGTTTCTTTGCCGGGGTAGCTGTCGTTGATGAGCGAGCCGTCGGCTCAGGGCGGGATATCCGCAGGGCCGCGCTGTGTTGCCTTAATGGGATAAGTAAGCGGTGGGTTGTATTCTGTCAAAGCCCTGTATTGTTTCTTCCTTGTCTCTCATTAAAATGAAAAACTGGAATTTGTCCTTTGCCACTGTTTCTCTCTGAGAGGATTTCTCTCTAATAGATGTCAAACTGGCCCATTAAGAAGTGGGTAATGAAACCTAGGTGGCCCAAGTGAGCTATCAGCATGCAGCCCAGCGCAGCCTCTCTCCACGTTCAGGCTAAGTGATAAATGCTATTATAACCTCAGCTTGCCACCACCGTCCGGACACATTAGGACTGAGTGAGCATTCTAAAATAAATTAAGATCACAAATAACTGTGTAAAACACAGGAAGCAAGCCTCATAATTCAGGTGGATGGGCTGCAAGATTAACAGCTCCGGGAAAGCTGGATGGCAGCCCTCTCCGTTTCATCGACTCTGACACCTAATAAAATAACAAAGGGAGAGTTTGGGCAGATGGAGCCAATGCTGGCTCTTGTTGACACTGGAGAAATGGGGAATTGGATTGTAATTCAGTGCTCTGGAGATGCTCCTTCCTCCCACAAGGTCTGCAACTTACTGCAAAGGTCGGTCTCAGTTGACGAATGGATGGGGACAAGTTGGGTCTGGTTCTGCTTCTCGGATCTGGCTTTGGAAGATACTCAGAAAACTACCCATAATAAGAGTTTATATCTTTTTAGCCTTAGGCATACAGAGTTTTTTTTCTCCAGACTGCTTGGCAGAAGCAATACTAAGGGATCCTGTGGGGAGAACCAGCTCCAGGTGGAGCTGACATCGGTTGTGTAAGAACCTACTGCTAGGTGACGCCTGCATTGGAGTTAATTGCTGCCCCCACGTTAGTGCTGGGAACCAGATGAGTTTTAATGTGCGGGCAAGAGCATTTCAGCAGAGAAAGGCTAAGACAGATGAACCAGTTGCACAGAGCAAGTGTCAGATCATTTATAATCCATTTGGAAATCCCTAAATTGACTGCTCATGATAATCTGGGAGTGCTGTCCCATGGGGAGGATCAGTCTGTGTGTGCCCTCATCTGATGCTTCTCAAACACCTGCTCCCAGCCTGGTATCAGAGAGAAGTCCTGGGTAGACCAATCTCTGGTCAAATCCATCACCACAGTCATTTTATTATCATTCTGGCTGCGAGGATGTTTCTTGCCCTGCTGCCTTTTGTGTGATTTTGCCCAAGCATTGGCAGTGCAGGCAGTAATTCAGAATCAATTCATACTACAATGGAAGTAAGAGGTAGTGTTGCCAGCAAAGAAACCTTATGGAAACATCGCAGTTCTCTCAGAAACTGGCAATTCTTGTGTTTTTACGGGTTCTGGGGGCATGCTGGTTTGGGCCTTTTTTTCACTGTCTTCTTTCTGTACGTGGATTGACTCAAACAAAGATGGTATCTGGCTCTAGTCTCCTGGTAAGAATTTAACAGTGTTGCTGGAAATCAGTGAAGAGGAATTTTGGTGGAAATCCAGAGTCAGCAAGAATAATGTGATTCTTAGCTGTATCCTTTCTGTATTTTTTTTAAATCAGGAATTGTGAACTTTTCTTTTGTTGTGTTTTCCTGTCTTCAGCCAAACAGTCTCACTGGAAAAAAAATGGAAAGGAAGGTCTACTTCCTTAACTGGTCTCTGCTAAATATCCTTGGTTTTCATCTTGCAGATCATCAAGCTTGAAAAGAATGGGAACGGGTACCACTACATTCTGGCAAATATGGTGAGTTGCCTTTTTGGCATTTTTTTTCAGTACCTTGTAATTTGTAATGCACTGTACTTATAGTTACTGAGCTGGAAGTCTTTTTTTTAGTCCACCTTTTGGGTAAAAATAATACTAAAGTCTTGTGGTGTTTTCTGTCTCAAACCAGCAAGATTATCTCCAGGGTATCTCCAAGGTTGCTGATTTCTTTTTTTTTTTTTTTTTTTTGCCCTGGGATTCAATCTGCATCTTTTCAAAGCCAGTTAAGTCAGCTGTCATTTAATGCTTGTTGTGATAAGGATTTTTTTGCATGTCATGGGGACCTGGGGTCCTGATGTTGCCCTCCCAGCTTGTTTCAGTCAGGCCACCAAGAAGTAGTTGACTATTGGTAACAACTTGCATTTTCTAACTAGTTTTATCTCCACTTTAGTGTGTCCCCCCCAAGTGAAGTGTTTCACAGCCATCCTGAGAGCCTCATAAGGGCAGACTTGGTAATAACGATTCACCAAGATCCCTCTGGCCTTCCCGTAAAAACAAAATACGCACCTATTCTGCAGCTTGGTGCTAGATCATATCTGACTGTCATGGCTCTAAGGAATGAATTGGATGTAAAGATTTCTTTAAGGAAAGGACTCTCCCTTTAATGCAGGGAGGCACTGGCTGAGGACAGACCTGTGCTGGGCAGCAGCAGGACCATCTTTCTGGAGCAATGTGCAATGCCTCCTCTCCTAGGAGGCTGGAGAATTTCTCTGCCTAGGGAGGTTTGGGAAGAGGTAAGACAGAGGAATAGCTCAATCCATAGGGCAGCTGGAGGTTTTTTGCAGCAGAGCTCCTACCCCCTTTTCCTCAGAAGTGTCCATCCATCCAGGGGATGCCCAGCAGAGGATGGGCTGGTGTTGGCAGTCTGGGGCTGAGGCTTGTCCCCCCAGACCCACTGTGTCCCTGTGCAGTTTGGAGCCATTCTTCCCTCCCACAGCTGCGTCTGTGAGGCAGCACATCAGGCCTGGGGTAATTAAACTTTAAACCACCAATTAGTCAAGCAGTTGCTGCCATTCTCCTTCTCTCAGTCCCAAGACAACTCTGTAATTTAGGAGACAAAAATGGCCACATAATTACCCTGCAATGCCCTGGTACTGACCCTGCACTTCATGTATTCATGCCTACCATGTAATTACAAAGTTAAAAATGTTACATCGTGCGGGGGGGACACATGCAAACTGTAGAGCAGCCAGTAACTTCAGTTGCTAATTTTTAAAAAATTATTATTTGTTGTAACCCAGGTCCTGGTCCTCAGATGTTTCTGAAAGTCCCTTCATTAAAGTGAAGCGGGGAAGCTACATGGAGTAGCTGCAGTGTGCGTCTGTGCACTTTTATTTATACCATGCGAGAGGCTAAGTCAGAATGGTGTCACCTCTTCTCTCTGCACGGTTTCACAAGGATAAATACATTAAAGGAGTGAGGTGGTCTAATACTCAGGTGTGGGAGTTATGAAGGATATTTCCCTCTGCCTTATGATACCACTCTCTCCCACTTTTAGATGAGAAACACTTTTCCCTTCTTTGTTTTCTTAACCTTTGCACAAATGCTGAGAGGACAGAGCTGGCTAGAGGAGGCTGCATACTCAGACAATATGGGTTATAAATAATTAACTAGGAGCAAAAGGCTTTTCATTTCCCCAGCCCCACTGCAGGAAGATTTTGCCTCCCAGCTGCAGCTCAGTGGAGGATGCTTTGGGTCCCTGGGACCCACAGGGTCTGACAAGACCACCGGAATCCACTGTAACCCACTGTGCTTTTCGAGCAGCTTTGATTTGAGGGGAGGAGAAAGAAGAAGAGTGCAAGGAATCCAAACTCTTTCCTTTGGTCTTTCCTCCTGCTTAAAACCCAGCACTGCGCAGGAGGCAAACTCCAGAGACAGGAATATAAAAAAAGAAAAAACAAACAAACAGAAAGAGAGGTGAGGATAATCAGACAACATGGGAAAACTACTTAAAAAAACCCAAACAAACAAACAAACAAAAAAAACCAAACTAGCACTCCTGAAGGTTAAGAAGGCTCTTTCTAGGGCAGAACAAGCTTTGTGATTCTGTCATGCATATGGGCAGGTTCGGGCACCAGAAGCCAAATCATTTTCTGTGATGTGCTGCACCCACACAAGAGCTACTTGCTGATCGGTTCTGCCAGGAAAACGGCAAAAAGGCCATGAAGATCCCGTGTTTCTGAGACCGCATGGCAGTGAGGAGGTATGGCAAGCCTCCCTATGCACGGATGGCCAGGGATGTTATGAGTGATTGTCAGGACGTGGGAAGTCAGCGTCTGGCAGGGTTAACCCATAGTGTGGGTGCCACGATTCAAGAGATCACAGCAGGTTTTACCTTCTTCTAAGGACATCTCGTTGCCTGGATGAGAGCCTTCAGAGGGTGTAACACACCGTAATTTATTCCCACTGACTCATGCACATAGTAGATAGACCTTAAACACCCCACATTTTCCCCTGTAGACAAGTCCTAAGATGACAGGGTGTGCATTGCCCACACACACACCCCCTCATGTGCGTACCTGCACTCCTAGAAAACAGCCCGATTCTGGGGAAGTGGCTCATTCCGGAGTACTTGGTCATAAGAGAATAAATTAAGAACTAAAAACTGCAAGTGCCTGAACATTTCCAGACGAGTTATTTTTTTATCCCCTGTGCTGACGGTGTCCTGATTTTAGGAATCTCATCCTACACGAAGATAAGGCTCCCAGCCCTGGCTGGGACAGGCTCTGTCTTGTACAAGTCAAGTGAGACCTCAGCTGGTTCGTAGCCACTAAGTTACTTGCACTAGCTGGAACAAGGGAATGAATTTTCAATACCTGCCTTTTGCAACACTACCTAACCTTCATGGGCCCTTTCCTATGGGGAAACAATTATGGAAACAACACGTTGGAAAAAAATGTTGGGAAATATTTATAGATAACCCCACTGAAATTCTTATTTTTGCCTATATGTTTGTTCAGAGCTATACTCAGCCAAAAAAAACAAAGAGCAGCACACTACTGCCCAGTTACAGGAGCTCCAAACTGGGGTTACATCAGGAACGTGAGTTTGCAAGGCAAGGCACAGGATGAATAAGGCCTGCAAATATCATCAATTTTGAACACGGAGGAATTCCCTGTCAGGTTGCAGACAATTCATGAACAAAGAGGAGCTGGCTTGCATTAATCACTGCTTGTTTGCCCTGCGGTTGCTGTTGGGTGAGCTGTAGCAAAGTACCAAGCAGAATTTAACAAGTAGCAGCAAATGAAAGCTAGTATTTCCTAGTGGGAACAGCTTTCTTTTTCAGTGAAATTGCTGTTGCCAAGGTGAGACAATAATATTTCTGTGTTCACAAACAAAATGAAACCGTTCTGCACCTTAGGCTGTGGGCAAACGTCCTTCTCTGAATCTGCTATGCCTGTTAAAGACACAATCTGTCTTGTCTGCTCAGCCCAGCCCACCCCATGAAGGTCTGTTTTGAATGTCACTGCCAGGGGAAGGGTTCCCGTGAGCATCCCTGCCTCTCGTTGACACTAATTTGGCACTGTCTATGGCTTTTGCAAACTCATGAAAACTGATCCTTGACCAGTACCCATCAGAGTTACACCAATTAGCTTTTACTTGCTGCCAGCCTGGATATTTGTCAGATGTACCAGCATTGGTGGGTTGCAATCATCAATCATCCCTCTCTTTCTCTCTTTGTATATCTGTTTTTCTTTTTGGAACTCAAAGAGGTTTGGCAACTTTAAGGAGTATTTGTTTTTGTGAGCCTTATTTTTCCAAGCTTTGTTCTTAGCCTTTGAGAGCATCAGTCTAGCAACCACAAAGAAAAAGATTGTAGTCAATACTATCAGAGGAGCAAGCTTAGAAACTTCTGGGATTCCTTTCTTTTGATGTTATGGACTTTTTCCCAATAACTTTGGCTTCATGTATCTGTTTGTCCTACACCAGGGATGCAGGCTGACTACTGCCAGTAGTGGGAGAACATCTGCTCTGTTGGGCAGAGGAAAATCTTGGTCTTAAAATAAGTGACATTTGCGTGACCTGTCTTTAAAAGAAAAGTATGAAGGACAGCTGCCACACACTGTGTTTTAGCATCTCTTTTTCCTAGCACATTAGTCCAGGGTGTTCTTTTAGCAAATGCTCTTGTTTGAAGTTGAATAGATAAGTGTATGAGATTGCTGATAATAGGGTTGCAGGGAAGAGTAAAGGAAAAACCAGAGTTGATTAGCAAAGGTAAGCATTTTTTCCTGTGCCTTTTTTACATCAGCATGTGTCAGTGCTGAGTTAGACCATGGACAGAGCTTCACTTTGCAGGCACTTGTGGTGGTTTTGGAGGTTACCAGCACAGCAGCTTTGCCAGCAGAGTGGCTTGTGCAGAAGTCAAGCAAAACCTACTGGTTCAATTCGGTTCACCTGTGGTTTAAAAGGACTCTGATTTTTTTTCCCCACAAAAATGGAAGGGAGAATTTCTGCACCCCCAGGGCTGAGACGTGGTGACCTGAGACTGACCAGCTGGGACAGACAGCAAAGAAGAGATCCCTCTGGAGTTGTCTGTCGAAAAGGACATCCACATCCTTGGGGAGCAAAGTTCTCCCAGCACAGGGAGAGATCTGCTCCCTTAAAGCAATGCAGCTCATGTACCTCCCACAGCATGTGCCGTGGCTGCACGGGGAGGCTCTGCTGTGCCCTTGCTGGGTACAAGCCCAGTGCAAGGAGCTGCACTGGCCGTATGACATGTGTCAAGGAATGTCACTGGCCATCCACTGCCTGCACCAAGCCTCTGATTCAGCTTGGCTGGAGCTAAAACGTTGCAGTTCTCAGTCTCTTATCAGCTTGAAAGCTGCCATGTTTACTTTAATCACCTGAAGATCTCAACGCTGTCCCCTGCCCCCTGAAGTATTGCTGCCTGAAGGTACAAACAAGGTCAGCAATACCCAGGTTGGCATCACTAGCTGGCTGGAAACTCTGTTTTGTGGGAGTTTCCAAAAGGATGTGTACAG